ATTGGTCATTTTAACCAGTTCTGTCCAGTCCTATCATGTCTTACCAAACGCTGAACAGCTGTCCTGTCCTGTCCTGTCCTGTCCCGTCCTGTCCTGTCCTGTCTGCGTACCAAACGCACCCTAAGTGGAATGGTAACAATTAACCAAGGTTCTTTTATGGTTAACATTTGCCTGGTGAGTGACGTTTATAAACAATTCATTTTAATACCTGAGCATATCACCTAACAAGGTAATTAATGAGAGTGGTGACTTTTGTCAATAAGATGACATTTGGTACATATACATGATTGGATTGTACATGACAAGAAGGTAGGATCAGACATAACAAATGTCTGTTTTGATGTTTGGTACAACTAGAACTGGACAAGACGGAAGTAGACAGGTTGCCCTAAAAAGTTATTTGATGATTTTATATATCATAATAGTTATAATTAACATAAATAATTTAATTTATAAATATTTTTACACAACTTTTATATACATAAATACATAAATGAAAACAAGTGTCTCGTACCAAACGCAACCTAGATGCTTACCCAATAAGCGTTTGGTAAATGGTCCCTTAGAGTGAGTGGTTGTTTGTTTTTCTCTTCATAGCCCCATTAAGTAGGAGTGCGCATGGGTTGGGTTGATCGGGTTGAAGACATTTGAACAACCCAACCCAATGCTTGCGGTTTGAAAAAATCTTAACCCAACCCAACCCAAACCAAAGTGCAACCCAACCCGTACAGGTTGGTCGGGCTAGTCGGGTATGTCGAGTTGATACTTTGGTACGTTAAAATATTTTTTTAACCTTGAATATGTTATTTCTTTACTCATTATTTATTTGTCATCATCAACCATTTGATACAACTTATCCATATTTCTTACGTATATCACATTCATTTAAAATTTTCAATTTACATATATATGTTCACAGTTACTGAACATATATACGAATGAGTTATATAGAGATGTGAATAGATTGAAAATATGTGTATATGAATAACATACATGATAGTGTAATTGTATAATGTATATATTAATATAAATTCAACAATCAGATTAAATCTAAGAAATGAAAAGGATATCGAGTTCATCGGGTTGGATTGAGTTCAAATAAGTGTAACCAATATAAACCCAATACCTACGGTTTGACAAATTTACAACTCGATTAGACATCGGGTTGAGTTATTTCGTGTTGGGTTGGGTTGATCGGATTGGTCGGGTTTTTAAGCACCCCTACCATTAAGAGACAACCTCTAAATTACTAAGAGACCGTTTACGTGAACACTTATAAGATAAGTGTTTACCGAATAAAAGAGACGAACAGTACTTACTTGCGGGGAGGGATGACACAATAGGCAGATATAAACATATAAGTATGACGGTATCTTTATGTGTGTATATATACTCATTTGATTAGACCCATATATATATATAACTTTAGAATTCAGGGACCTCATTCGGAATCAACCTAAAACTGTAGGGATGAAATTTGTAATTTACTCTACATAATATAAAAATCAATCGCGTCTCTACCCTTCTCATTTTGTTGAGTCCCGCGATCCCTCCTTCTCGCCGTCGTTTCCCCTAGGGCTGAAGACAACCACACACCACCGCCAGCAACCACCATACGCTCTTCTCCCGTGAACGGCGACAACCTCACGCAGATCCGGTTTCTTCGTCACGTACCGTTGCTAAAAAGAGCCTCTATCGAATCGTATCGATCACTCAACCTGGTGCTACTCTTATTATTCTTAACACCTTCTCCTGGTTTATCTTCCCCTATGTATCTCCATCACCGACTTWTTAACACTACCCATCTCCATCATAAATGCAACTCCGTCGTCAACTTCACGAACCTGCAGGCGGTCCAAATACACCGGCATATATATATATATATTGTTCTCGATGGCAAACTTAATGGCCGGAGAAGAAATCATCCGGTATGTTTCGTTACTGTGTGACGTCGACATCCATGAAATCGCCATACATACCCTTTGTGCTTACTCTCCATCACGCAAATAAGAAGTTGCAGATCGTTGAAGGTAGATATTGGGGTCCACATGAGTTTTGATTACAGAACAAACGTAAATTGGTTTTCGGACTGATTTAGGCACCACAGATTTGGACAAATTGGTAACGTTTAAACCACAATGAACAAACAGGTGGCGGCAATGGTTTAAACAAAACGGTGAACAACAGGTGCTTCAAAATCTATGTTTCCAGGTTCTTCTAAATGCCATAGCATGCACTGCTCTTGATAATTCATTTTTACCACATGATTACACTACCACTTGATGAAGCCATTTGTTGGGTAAATCATGTAAACCAAATGAGAAACTAGTGGCTGTTTACCAAACGTTTACCCGGGTAAACATTTATCAAGTCACATTACTTTTCGAATGACCATGATAAGGACCAAAAATCTTATCCGGTAAGAGCAAAAGCAAGGACCGAGTGTCTTACCCAATAAGTGAAGATGACGACTCTTACTCGGTTAGCACTTATCGGGTAGATTTTTACATACTATGTCGTTTTGATGGAGTAAAGTCTTGTTAGGTAAGGTAACTGTTGATGTTGAATTTTATCGGTAAGCGCTTACCGAATAAGTGTATACGTAAACGGCCCCTATGGGGCGGTTTACCAAAACACTTACTCGGGTAAGTGAAGACCAAGTTTCATTACCTTACCGGATGAATATGGTAAGGACAAAAAATCTTACCCGGTAAGAGTGAGAGAAAGACCAAAAGTCTTACTCGGTAAGTGAGGACGACGACTCTTACCACAGTAAGCACTTACCTAAATTGTTGTGTAGGATATCGTTTTAATGAACTAAAATCTTACCTGCTAAGTAAATGATAATGTTAAATTTACCGGTAAAGGCTTATTGGGTAAATGTTTGGTATACGGTCTCTTAGAGTATCTCAACTAACCTTTTGTTTTCCTTCCGTTCTTCTTGTACTTGAACCTAAGAAGAGCCAAGAACCTCTTAGACTATGGATGGAGAAATCACAGAAATAGAGAGTATGAATCGAGAAATCGAGAGTACAAATCGAGGGATTATGAATCCAGAGAGTATGAATCGAGGAGCCATAAGCAGAACTAAAACCCCTCGTGATCGTCGTCTTGGAAACCCTTTAATGAAGCGCTTGATTGTTGGTTGTCAAAATGAGGCGGCGTTTGTTTTTTTTTTTTTATATAAAAACTTTTATTCGCCTCTTATGTCTAATTCCTTAAGAGGTAAGACCATTCTAACTGTTTGGTTTTTTCAATTTTCCAGAGACACTTATGTCTTATTGTCCTCTTATCTGGCATGAGGTAAACCAACATTTAATTTGTCTCTTATTGTTTTTTAAACCTTCAACAACTGTGTTTTCTTAACCGATTATCCTTAATCAATCATTTCTATCAATTAATCCTTATAAAATCAATCATCACACTCTCAATTGATTTATTTTAATAGAATTTAAATGTGTTAAATACGTTAATGACATATTTTCGTTTAAATAAATGCTAATTATATAGTTTAGATATATGTAAATTTCGTAATAATGATAAATAAATACGTGAAATTGTATAAATTTCATTTATAAATTCAACAATATAAATTTTTAATGGGTGAAATAGACAATTTAAATAAATTCAGACGTTTATCAATTTATAAAAACAAACAGTCTTATTGATTCAAATTTTAGATGTTAACAACACTTCTTATAAATCAGAAGTGAAATAAGACTTCAGACTTCAGCACTTTTTAAGAAGCAAACGCCACCTAAATGTGGAAAGGCTTTATGCGTAATGTGATTGTATCTTAGGGGCTGTTTGTTTGGCTCTTAATGGTGACATTAAGAGCCAACCTCTTAATCGGTAAAAGGTAAGGAGTGTTTGGCAAAAAAAATTAAGCCTCTTAATGGTTACATAACCCTCTTAACCATTTTGCATCCAATGGGTCACTAAACCATTCAGACTTCTATTTTCCCAAGTTTACCCTTCCCACCCCTTYTTCCCAACCCCTCTCTTCACGCACCTTCTTCCTCCTGCTTTTTCTTCTGGTAATCTTCCTCAGATCATCTTCTTCATCTCCATCTCCTCAATCTACCAAAATACACTCGGATGCAGACTTACGAATCAACCCATCATCTTGCCCTCCACAACAACACACATCAATGGCTCTACCCACTGCTCTTTCCCACTCCCCTGTTCGTTGCCATTTTCTGTCACAGGCGACAACCGGCCGACAAACAGCCCCTATCTACTCTACTCTCTCTACCGTTCCTTTCCATTTTTCGTCGCCTTCATCGCCTTCACCAGAATCTCTCTAGTTTGACCATCATCGTCTTCACCATCTCTGGAATGGCATCGGCGCCTAGGCCCGCCTCTGTTTTGACCTCCATTTCTTTAACAGTCGGCAATGGCATCTGCGCGACGAAATCGGTAGATCCCATAACATCTCCTTCCCGACAGCGACAATCCTTAGATCCCATCAACGAAATCGGTAACGTCTCATCCAGGAAAAACATAACCCAAATCCAAAAGGGAGTGAAACCCTAAATCAAAACCACAAAAAGTCTCTTCTGTATTGAAATCAAAATAAAATCATAGAACCCAAAAATAAAATCGAGGGCAACAACGAGTTGGTTGGGGAAATTTCTGAAATTTGTTAAGGGTTAAAATGGTAATTTGTTGTCATTCAGAGAACAATTACCAAACAACCTTATTTCATTATGCACTTAACCATTCTGACCCTCTTAACCATTCTGATCTCTTAACTATTCTGCACTAAATCATTCAGCAACTGCCAAACAACCCCCTAGGCTCTTAGAGTTGTAATTAAGAGAGATTACCAAATGGTAAGAAGACAATATTATCCATGACTTGACGGAGCACCAATATTGAAGGGACTAAATCTGTAATTTACTCTATTTTCATTAATATCGGGGTGAAGAAAAATACGTTATTTTAAAAAATATCTTCGGCGAAAGAAGATGTATATATTTTGGGGAGGAGAGAGATTTGTGAGTTTTGGTCTCGTGGAATACGCGAACCGCGAAATTTCGAGGCGGACGTCGATCTCTGTGACTGACGCTCGTCCTCCGCCCAAAACCACTCTAAAACCCTAAATCGGCACGAGGAAGACAGAAAGGAATCAAGAATCGCTCAACATTTCATGGCGGTCACCAGCAGTAGCAGTACAGCTTCCGAAGGAATTCAAGGAACAAAATCCTCAGCTACACTTATATTAACAAACTCGACGCACAATCAGTTCTTTGGCAAGTTTTATCTTTGCTCTCCATGCTTATGTTTGATTAGTAACGCGTTCAACGCATTTCTCTTGAACTGATTGTGTCGTAAATTAGATTTAAGTGTGAAATGATTCATGGAAAGTTGGTGTTTGATTTTAGAGGCTTCATTATTAGTTTTGGATCGAAAAATTAGCCATGTTGTGTTTTTTCTCTACAATATGATGTTGACTGAGAACTATGTGAGTTGCGGAGAACTTATGCAAGCCGGAGATTATTTTAGTCTTGCTTTCTGGAGGCATCAGGGTGGTACTATTAGTGCACTGAGTGTAGTAATTGCATTTTTGATTGAACCATGGAGAAATTAGAATCCATTCGCATAACAAAATCAACTCTATCATTAACAGAAAAGTGTAGGATCTCGTGTACATTTGTAAGATAGTAGGTAATTTTTAATTATTTCTTTCCTTGCACGGCAACTGCCCTGAGTTGATCTTGAGTGTCAAAACCTAGTACTTCCGTAGTCCAAAATTAATTTGAACTTCTGCACAATCTAAGTAGTTATCATTGTTATCACAAACTAAATGGACTACTATCGATTTTGAAGTTGAAAAGTGGTCCACATCAATGTCGAATTAGGGCACCTATTATTAAATGAAAAGAGTATACTTTTATAATGATTTGACGTACACTATTTCAAAATGAACAATTGTTTTTATCCATTTTTTTCACCATAAGTGTTTTGGAGATTGAAATTCAGAATAAATTTTAGAAAAGGCAGAGTTCACACTTGTAATGTGCTGACTGTTGTGTGTGGTATTCATTTCAGTTTGGAGAGAGTTCTTATGGGGAGCCCTTGCTGGTGGCTTTGGGGAAGGGATGATGCACCCAATTGATACAGTAAAAACCCGAATCCAAAGTCAAGCCATTTTTACTCAAAGCCAGGTCTGATATGGTTTGCTTACAATCAAATTCAAACACTGCGGAAATAGAAAGATAAAGTTGGCGGCTTTGATACATATGCTTTATATTGTCGGTCATGTAACATGTTCTTGTAAGTTGGCTCATTTTTCTTGGTTGTTGATACTTCATAACTTAAGTCATGTTGGTGCATTGTTTTCCTATGACCAGAAGCAAAAGAGTATATTACAGATGGTCAGAGCTGTCTGGGGTGCTGATGGTTTGAGAGGTGAATTCTTCTCCATTATATTACCATTTACATGAATGTGAAGCATATATGTTCATTTGACTAGCTTGCGACCCATAGTGACATAATGTGTTAACAGTTTGTACGACGAATCTCTGCATTTGTCCATCATCCCTTTTGCTAAACCTTCCCTCATCTGCCCCACTGCTAGGTTTCTATAGAGGAGTTGTACCTGGGGTAACTGGATCTCTTGCAACCGGTGCAACTTACTTTGGCGTTATAGAATCAACCAAAAAGTGGATTGAAGAAACACATCCAAATCTTGGAGGTCACTGGGCCCATTTCATTGCTGGTGCTTTAGGCAAGTGACTTTCTTTCTTGTTGTTTTCCTATTTGCAGATGGTATTTTCTATATTCTGCAAATGTTGTTAACCTTTCACATGTGCTATTCACTGAAGGCTGGGCATTTTATAATAATTATGTTTTCAGCTTCAGTTCACACATGATCTGGAATTTAATCCATATGACACTGCCTGGTTTATTTAAAATTGCAAGAGTTGAAAATCCCAAACTTTTGTATAGTAGTACCTTCATGGCGATGGAAGTTGGAACTAGGTGCATTGCATAAAAACACATGTTTATTTATAAAATATCAAATTAGCATGTTTCATGTGTTTTTAAGAACAAAAAGGAAAAGGCAACACGCCGAATTACTAAAAGCAATTATCAAGTTGCAACAATTTTTCATGAGTGGTTGAATTTGATTATTTTAGATGCTTTCTTTAATAGAGATGAAGGTCTGATTTGAACAAGTAATAAAACAGTTGGCATACAGGATCATCTTTCTTTCATACCCTTAAACCATTCATGTGAAATGTGTTAATTTTTATCCCTCTATATCTATATATATATTGATATGAGCCCAATTTTACCACTTCCCAGATATTTTATTGAGAGATGGGAAAAAATTATTTACTAACCTTTCCTTAATACACTACTTGTATCCAGTTTCCTATGTTACTATATAAATTTTCATAGCAATGTGTTTCCTTCCAATATGATAGGCCCCTAATTGTGCAATACATTGATAGTTTTTATAAGCTTTCACTTTCAAGCTATTATTGATAAATTAAACAATACTTTGTTTTCTTTATCTCCATAACAGGAGACACACTTGGCTCTTTTGTATATGTCCCATGCGAGGTGATTAAGCAACGCATGCAGGTTCAAGGAACAAGGAAATACTGGAATTCAGTTGTCTTGAAAGACGCTGCACGTTCGAACTCCAATGCCAGCATGTATGGTTACTATTCAGGGATGTTTCAAGCAGGTTGTTCGATTTGGAAAGATCAAGGACCAAAGGGACTATATGCAGGGTATACTTTTTATTACCAATCCTTGCTTAATTTTTTGGTTTTGCTATTTCCCTTGCTAATATTAAACAACAGACTTCTTTTCCTTTAGCAAATTTAGCATCACATCCAGAAGCTATGTTTTTTTTGTGTGTGTAATAGGTGGTATCTGAGGTTTGTGATAGGAACTTGTCAATTACCCACTTCCGTCTTTCCCTCTTCAACTGACTTGATAAATATACAGTTGTCTTCTTTGGAGGTTGCTGTATTGTTAATTGTTTGGTCTCTATCCTTTTTTATTGGCAGCTATTGGTCTACACTTGCAAGGGATGTTCCATTCGCTGGTTTAATGGTAATCGTCCCTGCGTTTGTTTCATTCCATCTTGTATCCTATTTGTTCGCTGCATTGTATTTACTTGATACTAGGCATTAAAAATGTACATAATTATATTTACAACACCATTAAATGCGTTAGTTAAATCCGGACTGATAGATTGCTGACTTGTTTGGTCGTAGTTCCAGTTCTAACTGGAAGTGCACTGGCTTTGCTTTCATTATTAAATATTTTGTTTGAATCAGTATTTATTTACATATGCAGGTTACATTTTATGAGGCGTTGAAAGAATTAACAGAATATGGGAAACAAAAGTGGTTCCCTAATTCAAGTTTCCGTGTCAATAGTTCTTTTGAGGGGCTTGTATTGGGAGGAATAGCTGGGGGTATGTTTCCTGTTGAGTAACCAATATCTGTTGGATTTACTGTTGCCAAGCTTATGTGGTTTTCCAGGACTCATTCATGTGATATGCAAAACATGCAGGTGCTAGTGCATACCTTACAACTCCTTTGGATGTAATCAAGACAAGATTACAAGTACAAGGCACAATTGTAAGGTACAGAGTTATTTTAATAAACTTACCATAGAGGGGTTTCTTAGTTTTTTCCATCTTTCTTGTCGTCTATTGTTGTGATACTTGTGTAACCTATTTGCTGTACACTAATCTGAGGGGCTGTTTACCAACACAAACTGGGTAAGCACTTACCGGGTAAGAGCTACCACCCTCACTTACCGGGTAAGATTATCTGTTATCAAAATGGCACGGCAAGATTGATGGTAAAGGCCATCATCGCTTACCGGGTAAGCATTTCTGACCAGGTAAGAGGCAATAAGTGTTCAGTTAACCTGTAAGAGGCGGCAAGTGTTTAGTAAACAGCCCCCTAGCTTTTCTTTAGGGTGCGTTTGGTTCGTCGGAATCCAACGGAATTGGGTGGAATTGGAATTGTCAATTCCATTGACCGAATTCCAACGTTATGTTTGGTTAGTTCTTTTTAAGGTAAGGAATCTCTGAGATACTTTGAATCCCACCATCCACAGAATTGTTCAATCCTTCGTGTTGAGGAAGAAATTCAAATCCATTCCTTTGGAATCTATTTACAAAATTAAAGAAGCCCCTTAAACAGTTAAACCTAACCTTCCCCTTCTCTCTCTTCATCTGCTCGTCAACAACAGCCTGCTCCCCTTAAAATCTCCTTCTTTTCCATTTGCTTAACCTATTTCCCTCACATCTATCCCTGAGATTTTGTTTTTTCTTATTTGTTTAACCTATTTCCCTCGCATAGATCCCTGATAGATTTTCCGTGAACTGTACCCGTTTGCACAGTCTGTCTGTATTTTTCTTTCTTTTTAATTTTTGTATTGCAAGCCGTGGGTTTTTACGGAATCAACCTCATGGTCTGCATACATCGTAGAATACCCCTATACCCTACCTTTTTGTGGGATTTATGGGGTTAGTTTGGTTTGGCTTGGTAATATCCTCCTAAAATATACAAGTGCCGTGTTGTTGGCAAACCAACGCTCTGCAGTTTGCGCTCAAAGCCATGTTGAATATTAAGCTAGTCACACGATCAACACTTTTTGTTCCTCCCCCACCCTCTCTCTCTCTCTCTATATGACTAATAGTTTATATGGCTTCTGTTTGTGTTTGGCGGATAAATAATATTATTCGAATTGTAAAGAAGTAGATAACATGTTTTAGGATGTGGCTGACTCAGGTACAATGGTTGGTTGGATGCATTTAGTCGAATATGGCTGATTGAAGGTCCAAAGGGACTGTTTAGAGGAAGCATCCCAAGAGTGATATGGTATGTTCCAGCTTCTGCTCTTACATTCATGGCTGTTGAGTTCCTGAGAGACCATTTCAACACCCCCACCCATAAACTCAAAGAACTCACTAGCTTATCAATAGACAACAAGAAGACTCCCTTTCAACAACAGAGTTAGATTTGCCATCTTATAAGCTGCTGGATTTATAGAGTTGTTTCATACTTAAAAAACTTGTTCAACCAAACCAAGTGCATTCTTTTTCCAAGGGAAAAAGGATTCTGCGTAAAAATGAATCTGAGCATCGTCATTGTGCATTTAGAAAGAAAGTTCTGAACCGGAGATTTGTACTTATGCTTATCCATGTGACTTGCACGATTTTGGTGAATAGAAACAGGTTTCTTGCCTGAATATGAAGTTTTACTTGCTCGATTCCCGTCCACATTCACTTTTTTAGGCCCTCTTCAAGCCAATTCCGATACTAACCATTCTTTATGCATTTGCGTAAACCACATTTTTCTGATAAAAAAAGAAAAAAAAAATGGGTATTTGCATAAAGAATGACTAGTTTAGAATTGACTTGAAAATGTGGCTATAAAGTGAAGTGGAGAAATTGGTATTTCCCGTTATCTTATGTGCTGTTTGGTTTAGTTGAATTGGCTAATGAAGGTATAAGGAATGAACAATATACATTCTGATACTGGCTTCTTTTTTGGGATTTACCGAGTTTGATTGGTTTGGTTTGATTTATTCGAGGAACGTCGTCCTTCTCGAGAAGAACATATAATATTTTTATACATTAAATACCTATGGTGAGAGAGATTGAACCTTTGATCTCCGAAGAGGTTGGACTCTACTAGTAACACAGGTACAACTATGCCAATAACCCTTTGGTAAAGTTAAAGGGTTAGGAAAGTGGAATCAAACACTGGTATTTAGAGTGGTTCGTTCAATCATCCATAGTCCTTTTTTGATCCCTCTTAGGGCTCATGATTCATTGAATGAAAGTTCCTTGTATTGTTGCCCGATGTTTGTATTACGGCAATCGTTGCTTTTTCTGAGTGGGTAAATGTTGACCAGTCGTATAAATTTAAACACTTGCATAACCTCTTAGTGATCTTTTGTATGTATTGGATGAGTATTTTGGGTTCGTTTACCAAATGCTTATCGACAAGAGTCATCACTTTCAATTACCTTGTCGGGTAACATTATTGATCATCAAAATGGATTGTTTGTAAGCATCTCTTGGTTTGTAAGTGCTAAATGGGTAAGAGTCGTCTCCCTTGCCGGATAAGATTCTTGGTCCGGTAAAGCAAGTGACCCAGTAAGTGTTTGGTAAACGACCCTTTGTGTCGAAAATAACTCTTAAATAGGACTTGAATATGGACAGAATATGTTTGATAAATTGCAACTGAGTTCTTATTTGACAAAATTATCATTTTATATTTGAAAAACAAAATTTCAGACAACCTTAAGGATGTTTATAGGTCAGGTAGGCTTTGTGGGAATTATTGAGAAATCGACTGAAATAGTCATATCTCTACACTCAACTTTGCTTTTTAGGTCAATTCTCCAAGACTCTAACTAGTCATTTTTTACTTAAATGCCTACCTTTTACAAATCAAATCTGCTACAAATCCTACACTTTACAGATTAAACACACCAAAGATTACAAATTCTTCTAATTGTAAATCATTCACAAGATTCAAATCCTTAAAAAAATCTGTCACACCTGCCCTTGGAAGATTTAAACCAAAAAGGTTAGATAATGTTGAAAATATTTGTCATACACTAGAGGTGCATCCTTCCCGGTCCTCTCGTATTAGGGAAAAGTCCTCTCAATGCTCTAACGCCCACACTGGATATGGACAGAACTGTCTGATGACGTTTTGAATCCAGCTCACGTACCGCTAAAATGGGCGAACGGCGCAACCCTTGGAACTTTTAATATTGAATAAACTAGAAAAGAATTTCATGATAATGGTTTTAGATAAACTCGTCCGAATTATCAAAATTCTGATCAAATAAGTTTTACCATTTGATAAGATTTGGTGATAAAGGTTTCTTTGATCCCCAACAAAAAATTGTCATGTTTTCCAAAATATTATTCACGAATGACATTAGTTGTAACTTCCTAAAACGATTTTATTCATCCAGTAATAATCAACTTTTTTGATCCATCTCATTGATATGGTCGATATATGGAGATCAAAACACTATTTTTTTTATACAGTTGATTGAAAATATCTGTCTACAAATATATTATATTTGTTTGTTATCATCAAAATAAACGAAATTATAAAGTGTAAAATATGGTATTGAAATTGCTAACACACTGAATATTGCAGAGTTTCAAATGCCTACACATATTTCCCATTCAGTTGCATGTCACATTAGGTTATGAGATGTGTTTTGAGAAAATTCTCAACTTAAAATTATCTGCTTGATCTCAAATCTAATCTTAGAACAAATTATGGATCTAATTCCAATTGGTCTGTAAATTCAAACCAAATTAGTAACAGAAAGAGTAATCTACATAATCTTTGAACATACTTAGGGGTTGTTTACTAAACGCTTACTTGGTAAGTGCTTACAGAATAAATTTTCTCATCGGATGAACATGACAAGGGCCAAGAATATTATCGGGTAAAAACGATGAGTAGGATAGAGAGTCTTACCGGGTAAGAGTGATGGGTAGAATGGAGAGTCTTACCCGGTAAGTGAAGATTACAACTCTTACCCAAGTAAGTGCTTACCTGGTAAATTGTTGCATTCAATATGTTTTGATGTATTAAAATCTTACTCATCAAAATAAATTTTAGTGTTGACTCCTATACTTAAGCACTTACCGGGTAAGCATTTAGATAAACAGCCTCTTAAAAATCCACATGGAAAGAAGGAGGCCATTTGGACCGGGTTTTTGGGTCAGTTTGTACTCTGTGATCTGCATGCCTATGGCCTTTGGGTTCCCCTTTACTTTGTTGGGCCGAATTATTTGCATTGGGCTGACTGTGATGCTTGGGCCATGCTAATTATTTTACAATATTGGCCTTTTATCTAACAATTGAGTTAACAATGAAATTAGCCCAATTTAATTAGTTTATTTAATTACTTAATGGCATTATTTATTAAACGACTAGCATTTCTTTTTGGAATTTATGGAGTAATTATTTTGTTTGCAGGCCAACCTTTGCGACCCACGTGGCAATATCATCGGCTTCCTTGATGCAATATTCACCTGTGAGAATCCTCTTCTCTAATGTTAATTGGACCATGGCATGTTTCTTTTTGAAGTTTATATACCATAAATGCAACAAAAGAACTTACCACGTCATTGTCATCTTTGATAGGCTTGAATCCCTTGACTTTCTGGGAGATCGAAGATCCAAATACTGCTAGGTTGAAGGCTCGTTGGTGTTTCATTGGCATGTTTTTTTGGAAGGGGTGTCCCAGGCATTTGGACTAATCTCGATAAATTATGGCTGCAATAAATTATCCCTGATAAACTCAATGACCATAACGGTTGTGTACATCTAGAATCGAAGCTTGGACAGATGAGATATTCAACCAGGGAAGAGAACCTCAACTACTACGCGACAACTCTTGTGGTTGTTTCATTGGCATGTTGCTATAAACACATTGCATGTTTTGCTGATACGTTCGACATGTCTCTCCCTTTTTCAGTTATTGCATGAGGATATTTAGGATAGTGGCACCACAGTTGTGGTCATGCGAAGAATGTGATCAAAATAAGTTGATTTCACCAAGACCAAGCCTTAAAAGAACACTTACCTGAAGTTTCAACACGGAAAGTCTATAGCTTAATGCACACTACCACTAGGTTCTTTGGAGGCAGGACAAAAATGCTTTTGTTAACCGGTTTAACTTCATGGAAAAAAAGGTTCGTACAGGGAAAACAGAATATATCAGTTGTGCCGAAGCCATCAAGCTTTCTGATCATAACACCCTCCAAAACGCCATTCATTCAAACCAAAACTTAAGCCACCATGTGAAAGGAGTCTTCTTAAAACACCAAACAAGAAATTAAAGACTGATTAAGTTTAGGCTACATTTGTAGCAACATGTTGTTCAACAATCAATTGCTTCGAAAATTCACAACAATGGATGCATGATACCCATATAAAACACATGCAATTGACAAGTTCCACCTGCATCTACAATTACCTCACTAACTTTTTCCTATCTCAAGTTGCATCAAAGGCAACAGACACTATGCATATATGTTCTTCAACTAAGCTAACTAAACAAAAACCGGTCAATTGTGTATCATACGTACATGATGTTTAAATGCAAAGGGACTAACCTCAACGCCTACAGATTTCCTGAAATCCTGGAGGACAGTCATCATAAGGTTCACGTTTTGCTTCCAAAAGGGGTCGTGTATCACCCACCTTTCCATCTTGAACAGCCTTCTTGAGGATGCTTGGGTGACGAATTCTACGGAAAACTCCCCAAAGAAAGTAATTCCCTTGAAACTCTAAACATACCCACATAAAAAAACATTAGGGTCCATCTGTTTAACCCATTTTCCTTTATTTATTGTCTGTTTTTTGCATTTCATATCATGGAAACATCTAATCATATGAATTAATGAGCCTACCTTGAGAATGTGGTTGTAGGAGTGTTGATGGAAGCACCAACAACTCCACCCCATCCACAGAGCTTCTCATCAGCAAATTTTTTCTCCAAAGGAAGTCCATTATAGAGTTGGAGTTGTCATATCTACAAATAAAAAAACATGTTTTGAAATCAAGATTTATCATAAAAGAAAGAAACAAACTTGTAAAACATGAAAATAAGTTTCAGATATGGTCCAACTTGGCTTTCTCAAGTGGATAAGATTTGTTTTGGATGACCTCAGGGTTCTGAGATAAAAATCCGACAATTGGGTGTATGTATACCCCAATCATTAGTGGTTTATCAAGTCATCTAGAGATCTGAGGTTGAGATATAAACCTCTTTTTGAATCTTGGGAAGAAGTACAACCCAATGTCATCATTATCGGGACAATAGTCTGGAAACATATCTGTCCATATTTCATGCTTCGGAACCAGCTCAAAGTAGATATTTTCAGGCATTTTCTTTAGGGTCTCGTAGACCTTATTGTGTACAGTAGATGGGGGATGAGCCTTGAATGCGTAATTATAACTTTCATGCCCATTTGGTAGATAAAAACTTCCCCTACAAAAGCAAGTGTCAATGTAAATGATCATTTTTTTTCTAGCATAGCACAAAACGTGTCAATCTACTTCCAGAAAAGAATGATAGCACTAATAAACTACCAAACAGATACTGTTAATAGAAATAGATTAAACTATCATTTGATCCCTGGACCTTTACTCAACTTCTACTTTTAGTCCATAGATGATGGCCCTTCATTTTGCAATTCAGTCTTGAGGTTAACAGCCTAACATCATTACTGATCTCTATTAAGAAGTGGCAAGTGCATAACACATTATGCCTTCCAAATCCAAACATAACATGGTAAATATAAAAAAAGTTTAGTAATTTTTTCTAACAGATAGAAGTAGAACTTGATTGCATTGTGTGATTGCTAAGATTTGTGCACAAATTAATAACTTGCTTACTTCCAATAAGCATGTAAAGCAGGAATATATGGACGGCTCATCTCAGAAACAGGCATGCCCCTTGTCGGATTTGGTTTTCCAGCATCACAACTCCCTGCCTCCTCATTGGCATGATTCTTACCACCTACAGGGGAAAATACTCTCAACATACAAATAAATGATATTTGCGACTAGTCTTCTTAAATAAAGTGTGCAAGTAGGTTGACACAACACTACAAGACTTTTACAGAATATGCATACCCATCTTTGTACCTGCTTTTGTGTTGGCTGTTTCGGATCTTTTAGAAGATTTGGGCACCTCAATATGCATTCTGGTATCTGCTACTTCTTTTCTGGGAGGCAGGACCTCACTCTTTGCTGAAAGATTCCAAATAGTACATGACATTAAGCAAGATAACTTCATAAGGAAAAAAACGACCACAAGCATCACCTAACTCAAAGATGGTATCCACTCTTACAAGACACAAAAAGCAATGATGATGTATAAGATGCATACCCGTCTTCATTTCTCTTTCTGTATTTGCTCTTTCTCTTTTACAAGACTTGACACACTGTGCGGCATCACCTCTGTTTCGGAGAGACGGGATCGCTTTTTCTGCTGAAAGGATTATGAGAAATAAGTTAGCAACAATGGCATGAAGTAAGATGACAGCAAGAAATAAACCGACAAAGAGCATCTTACATATATGTGTGTGTGCTCAACATGGTCTCGATGCATCATATAGGAGTTAACATTGCATTATCAAGTGTTTAATACGAGTGTCGTTAGAATCTAAGAGGTCTGTCATTTCAAGCATAGAATCTTGAAATAAGAAATCACATGGAGGTCAAAAACACGTGTTTACTGAATTTAGGCACAGATTTACATCGTTAGATACTAGTTGAAGCCATATAAACACTCTATCTGATGAACTCTAGAACAATATCACTGCTTTGAGAAGCAATGAAACAACAGACATCCAATCTTTTACTATGAAAATGATAAATTTCATAATAATTACCGACAAACTAATAATACATGATGCATCGCCATATCAATTATCTTCGATACTTGTTGACTAAAACATAGCATAAAGAGTTTCACCTTTCAGGCTAGTTGATTTTTGAACAACAGGTTGCTGCAACTGTGGCTCAAACTTGGTAGTCCTTTCTTGTTGGGGTGTTTTAATAAGAGTCCTTTCACGTGGTGGTGGCATAAGTTTTGATGATCCATGTGCAGAACAAAAAGCATTTTTTGAAGGCGGGTCTGATTGCTTGGCAAATGAAGAAAGCTTGACAGCTTCTTCACAACTGATATATTTTGTTTTCCCTGTATGGACCCTTTGCTCCACAAAGTTAAACCGGCTAGCAAAAGCATTCTTGTTCTGACCTCCTGAGGTCCTACTGATAGTTTGCATTAAGCTAGGGGCTTTTTGTGTTGAAGCTTCAGGTAAGTGTTCTTTAAAGCTTGGTCTTGGTGAAACCAACTTATTTTGATCACATTCTTCGCAAGACCAAAACGGTGGCACCTCTGTCCTAAATATCCTCATGCAATAACTGAACAAAGGAAGAGACATGTTGACATATTAGCAAAACATACAATGTGTTTCTAATTAACATGTCATTGACAGAGAAGATGATTCTTACAGATGTTGACGAGCAATTTTACACTCGCAACAAGTTACTATTGCCTCAAAAACACCGTCATCGCCACATATATCACAAGGTTTGTCCTGAAAAGTAGTAAATATGACAATGAGGTTGTAAATACATTGAATATTGCAGAGTTTCTGATATTGACATACATTTCCTATTCTGTTGCTTGTCACATTAATCTTATGCCGTATGAAAATTGTAACAATTTCCAACCTAAATTACCTACTTGCTCCCAAACTGTCGTTAATGATTTTAGTCCAAAAGGTCTACTTCAACCAGAATGCTAAAAGGCCAAGTAATCAAGTAGGACATAAAAAACATCCTCATGCAGAGATTAATCCAAAAAACAACAGTAACAATGCATCTTCATTGTGTTACAGCAGTTAAAAAAAAGGGTAGACCGCGTATGATGTCAAAGGTGGACGTGTATTCTTAGAAGTAAATAAAGGCTATAGATTAGATTGGTTTAGTAAGAAACTCAAACAAGTTTCAACAATTCAGTATCTGCCAAATGCACATACATTAGATATCAATGGACAAGCTTCCAAAGATAAGGTGCGTTTGATCAAATGACCAAAATTGCTAATTGTGATTTGTGAATGCTAATTAACATATTGATATATTGAAAAAACTTCTTTTGGAGTTTGAAGACCTTAATAAAAAGTTATATTATAACTTGAATGTTGAATACTATATCTTGGTTGGAAGATTTGGCTAAAGTAATGTGCAATGAACAGTTCTACAGGTATAGGTTCAATTGGACACAAAGTGCAAGAAGCTCGACATATCTTATTTCAGTCGGAGGAACAATAATGCATGTCACTTCTACAACTTGGAATTATTGCTCATTCAGCTTCCTAACGAGATTAAGTGGCTGTTTGGCAGCTTCAGAATCATTGAGTGCAGAATGATTCAGTGGCTCAGTATGATTTAGTGTTGGATAGAAAATGATTGTTTAAAAACTGTTCTGAATCAATGTAAAATGATAATTTTACCCCCAGTCTTTTGTTGAATGAAAATTAATGTTTGACAAAAGTTCGGAATGAAAAATAAAGAATAATTAATTGTCCAAGATAATACATGATATCATATTTCAGTCATGAAGACTGGTCTCCTCACTAAAATCAAAAATATGAAAAGAATGTGATGATCAAGAGATGTCCTATGTATGTTTCACTTTCTACATTTCAAAGTTCCAATCAAGAATCAAAGACACTTTCATAATTATGTTATGGCATGATTTCTTAAAAGGGTGAAAAGAAGAGCAAATCAAACAATCTCCAAAGAAGCTTGTTCACATAATATGCAGTGTAAAAGTCTAAGATGTAATAAAGTTCTTACAAAAATGCATATCTTTCTACTTTTATACATCAAGGTACCACCCTACTCTTTTGATGAAAAACCCTCAAAACACTAAACAAATAAAATAAAAAGGAGTTGTCCCCTTTCCACCCAACTGTTGTACACAAACAAACCATCCAGTTTCTTGGGTCCCACACCAGAAAAGATAAGCAAAAAACAAGAATAATATATACTCCCTCCTTTTCCAAGAACATTATCATGTTCAACTTGACATATACTATCTAATAAATGCCACAAGAACATCTAATAGAAAAAAATTATCAACCAACAAACAAATAACTTCAAATTTCTGTAACAACGACAACGGGTGGAACTTGGAAAATATTGTGACCTACAACACATTCAACAGGATTTTTCTTTGACATAAATGGAAAATGTTATTAAATTTCATGATATCTAGTGAGTAAATGATTTAAGAAGGAAGTCTAACTCGAGTTTAATGCATACTTAGAACACATAAATCTTAATAACACACTTTCAAATTAAGTGGAATAAAGACCATGGCATCCTCATAGTATAAACAAACAACTATGCAAGTAATAACCTGCTCATCACTTCCTCTTATCCGGATCAAATGAACCAGAAAAGCATAGATGTATAATTTGATTTTGATCCAAACAATTTCATAACTGGTGAAAACCCTAACCTGCTTAAACTAATAGTTCCCAAAATGTAAAAAAATTAATGAATAAAGATTAAAAGTTGGAATCAACTGAACTTAACCTTCCATCATCATCCACCATGAAATCAAAACCTCATTTTACATGAGCCTGAGCTTTTATCGTAATGGATACAGATGCAAAGCTTCGATCAAGACAAACCGTCAGATAAGCGAACTAACTCCTTTTCAAGATTCGCATGAAGCATCACAACTCAAAAGTAACAAACAGTTCTTGGACCAAGAAAATGACGTCACGTTTACAGATTAAAGGGTTTATGAAATAGGGTTTAGTGCCAAATGGTTGTATTATAAACAATAAATAACAATTGAAGATCAGGATTCTTTATTAAAATAATAAAGAAAAGAAACCAATCAATACCATGTTGGTGGCGGACATTTGGGTGTCTGGGCTCTACAATCCCGGGTGAGTGGGAGACTTGTTTGAAGAATGTTGTACAAAAATGAAGACGTAAAGGACCTTCAATGGCGGCAGCTTGATTATCTGTAGCCTTCTTCTACCAATTCGATCTTGGTTTGGCGGCAACTTTATGAAGCTCAGGCGAAGAACACATTATGGATCCAGCCCCAAATCCCAGTTGGCAATCTGTGTCTTGATTCAAACCAAATGAATAGTAGCCGGGAGTGGGTTGTCTAGAAAATCCAAACGCCAACTTCAACAGTAATATTTAAAAGAGTAAACTACAATTTTGGTCCTTGTGGTTTATACGAATCTTTGATAGTGGTCCCTAGACTTCAATAACTACAATTATTGTCCTTATTATTTACATTTTGCATTGAAAATCGTCTCTTGACTTAACTCTATTAATATTTTTTCCGTTAAGTTAGGGGTATTTTTGTCCTTTTATTTTTACAGGAACAAGTTATACAATTTTATTTAAACTATAGAGACCAAATTGTAATTTACTCTAATTTATATTGATATTATATATATATATATATATGTGTGTGTGTATGTAACCAAAATGTCATTTCCGACGTCCAATGTCGTCTTCGATGATCAACGATTGAACCACCCACTTGTGAGTGTCGTGAACCACCACTCTCTCTCTCTCTCTCTTTGTGTTTTCCTTCACATCACCCAATACCCATCTTCCTCTCCATCTCTGTCCCAAACACACACACACATACACACACACATTCTGAAGGTGATATTTGGCAACAGATGAGGACCTCTCTCCGACGATAGATGGGGAGTATTTTCGGCATCACCTACTTCGTTCCTGTGACCCCACCCACCTTACTACCCATCTCCCTTCCCCTCATCCCCGCTACTGACCACCATCTTCATCAACACTCCCCTCGATCTCCACTGCAAACTTTGACACCCGTATTTTTTATTTTGTGAATTTGTAAATCCAAGACTTTGAGCTTAAAGTATATGACGGTTTTAATATCTATTCTAAAGCCTTATTTATTTTGTATGTATTTGAAGTCTAAACAAATAATGAAGCATAAGGAATGAGAAAACAAGTTTGGGAAGGGCAGCTTTAAGAAGCAGCCAAAGTCGCGTGAAAGTTGACGTATCATTCCTCATACGAGTGTGTTGATTTGAAAAGGAAGAAAGGGTTTCAAACCCCGTTTCTTTTTGTTGTTGTCTTAGTTGGTCGAGAGTTTCACCTCCCATTGATTCTCATCTTTCTAATTTTCTCCTTCGACTGTTTTTTTTTCCTCTCTCTATCTCTCTTATTTACTTCCCAACTTCTCCCTCTCACTTCCTTTAGATCAGTGGTGACATCAAAGACAAGAATCTAACCACAAGAATGGTGTCTGGTTGATTTGAGCTTGGCTCAAAAGGTCAAAAGTACATGGAGGTCTCAGGTTCAAATCCAAGTAGAATTAAAAATCCCCTTGTGGCCACGGAGGTTCAGATGCGGTGACTCCGGGCTATCTGCAAAGCAGATGGTTGCCCTTGGATTAGTCGGCTCGCATAGCGGGTTGGATATACAGGTTAATTAAAAAAAAACAAGAATCATTATGTTTTTTTAAGCATTTACTTCCCTTAAGATCCAAGGACTCAAGTAGATTAATCAACCTTCAAGTCTTCATATTTTTTTTTTGGGGATTTTTGCTTGGTTTTCTAGGTTTTCACTACAAACCTAGCAGGTGAATTCACCTTTATTTTTATTAAGCTTTGTTATACCAAAACTTGTTATCTTGCATCTTTGTGGAACCTTGCTTGAACTTTTGGTTTGACCTAATTTTACGAATTATGGTATATGTTGGCATATATGAGGGGTTTGTGTATGGATAGATAGACTGTGTACACGTGATGGAATTTAATATGTGGATAATATGTTCATAAATGTACACATGTAGTGATGTTGGACTGTAATCCTTATGCATGAGGATTAGGTGAAATGTGGAGTCAATTATGTTATATTAATCCTTTTTGAGTTGCTAGTAAGTAGACACTAAAGGTCCATCGGGATTCTTGAGGTGAAACTTGGCTAGAGAAATGGATCGGCATTAAGGGTCCTTGAGGTGAAAGTCTTTGGAGTAGACACTAAAGGTAAATGTGGGGCTGAGGTGACTCCATGAATGAGGTGTTCACTAAAACCGTGAACCTGAGGTGTTGTCCCAATAACATGATTAGGTGGCAATACTTTTGTGTCCCCGTCACCTTGATGGAAACGGAGTCTCCCCCATCCTTGAGAGATGTTTCTTGTGTATAATCTCCAGGTTGGGACATACTAATCTAAACTATTCTAAGTTTAGATTATGAAGGGTGTCACTATCTTCGTCAAAAGAATCCAGTCAAAATATAATGCCAAATGATAAAAACTATAACTCCCAAAAAGTGCCTCTACTGTCATCAAATCTCTTCGCTCAAGCCCTCAGAGCCCCACTGTTAAAAGATTCTGATATACATATCATTTAAGAAAAATACTAGGCTTGATACCCAGTAAGTCTAAACAGTTTATAAAATAAAGCAAATAACAATTGGTGATAACATTTTATAAACTTGAACAAATCCTAGAGTTCACATACTTCAAATAAGGGTCATAAAGTCCAAAACACATCTTCGATGACGAGACCCGTTTTTCATTGATCGTGGCAGAACACAAAAGTAGGCCACAAATCCATGTTCTAGAGCTTTTATTATGGGACATTGGTCATCGAGTTTAACCATCCATGCCCTATAGTTTGAATCCTCTAAAGATACAAGATATGCTCGAGTCACACAGTCATCAAGATCAACCACTCATGGTCTATAATTTGAGTCATCTAGTGAATCATTACTCGCATCTAGCTAGATCATGGGAACAACTATCCCATTATATACGTAATCAGTTGACTTTTATGCCTATGTATCCATTTGCATTTAGTCTAATATTTGTCACCACTTTAAAACTGACCAATTATAACCACATATATAGTTTTCATCATTCAAGCGTCCTCATAAAGTCATTTTGACACAAAATTTATCACACAGGTTAAAGTTCTCATAACTACCAATAAAACCATTTTCTTTCCCAACCATCATATTCATCCTCCTCCTCAAAAGTTCATAAGTTTCGAGGATAACTTTGCTTCTCAACGCTTAGCCAGTTTCCATAATATAACTTCATATATATATATATATATATATATATATATTAAGTAAAATCTAAATTTAACCAGTTTCCACAATAATATTTACGTACCTAAAACATACTTTTATAACACATATTTAAAGATCTCACATTTATAAGCAAAAAGGGTACACGCTCGACCTCCCAAATCTTCCAAAAAGACCCAAAATAAGTTAAAATACACAAATATGTAAAATTCATCAAAAGGAATGTCTTAGAACAGTAAAATGAAGCATTTTGATATGTATAAAGTTTAAAAGTTCAGGATGAACTTATTAATGGATTTTTAGGAAAACCCTAAAACAGGTCAACACTGGTGGAAAGATTGGAGAAGATGAAGATCTTGAAACTTTAGACACCCAACCCTCGGGGAAATGAGAGAGAGGGAGATAATGAGTTAAAATATGTATTGGAGTGCTCGGAGTTGCATTGTCACTTTGGAACAACTGGTAGAGAATGAGTGGAAATATGCATTGGCTGTAACCGGACGTACATGTAGTGACGGAACTGTCTTTTACCTTTGGTTTGGCTCATACAGAATGAGTGGAAATATATACTGGGGGTGACCAGTCCTATACAAAGTGACCGGAACTATATTATTGGCTTGGGTTCGGTTGATTGTTCCATCACTATGATCGCAAACATACAATTTGAGGGGTTATGGTGAAATTTCCACACCAATATCTAGAAAATATCTCACATCCTTGGTGTCGAACAACTTGACAACCGCACTAGATGATAGAGATTTATATGTTAACTTAAAACGATTTAGTAAATCTGGTAAGTTTAATTTTCTCGCTAAATAACTAATCAAACCCAAATATGTTAAGTGTATCAGCAACAAGACAACTGTCTTTTGAGTTTTTTGAACATAATATACCCCCTGCTAAATAACTGCCACAAACCTCAACAAAAAGCATGCACTCGAACTTTCTCAATAGACGTTGATATTGATATCTTGAGAGTTCAGAGATACTTTTTATTTTGTTGATGTTTGAAAACTTTCTCAATATTTTTTTCTTGAAAAAATTTCTTAATGTTTTTGGTTGATGTTTGAAGTGTTAGAATTTGTTAAATTTATATAAAAATCGATGCAAAAAAGACAAAATAATGGTCAACATTTGATCAGTCATTTAGCATTTCTTAGAAAAAAAAATGAGGATTTAGGGGTTGTTTGTTTACCCCTTAATAGTTCTATTAAGGGGCAACCTTTGAATCATTAGGAGGCGAATCTTGTTTGGAAGAAAAAAAAGTCTGCATTTGAATCATTAGAAGACGAATCTTGTTTAGGAGAAAAAGAAATCTGCATCTTAATGGTTCTAAACCCTCTGAATGATTTTGTATCATGTGTCTCCCCTAACCATTCAACACCCTAATTTTGTTATAAATAATTACCAAATAATTATATTTTATTTTGCACTGTATCATGAAAGACTCTTAATTATTTTATACCAAACCAAACAACTGTTAAGCAGCCCTTAATGTAATTTTAAACTATTTTTTTTATAGTATTTATTTTTACAAAATCCCCTTCCCAGAAATATGGAATAACGTGTTTGAACAACTTGACGCACACGCGCATAGTCTTTGACGCTCTCTCCCGGCAAAATGGTGCCACCGTCGTCTCGGACGGAAATCCTCTCCCTTTTCCGGTCATTTCTGCGATCAGCCCGTCAGTTCCCCGACTACAACATCAGGGAGTATGCCAAGCGTCGTATAGTCGACGCTTTTCATGACAACAAGACTCTATCAAGCCCTTCCTCCGTCGCCGCCGCCTTCGCCGATGGCAAGTATCAGCTGCAGGTTGCCAAAAGACAAGCCCTTGTATATTCATTGTACTCTCCCAAAACTAAAAGCATCATGGACATCAAGTATTGATCGATTTAGATGATATTTCTCTATATTGGTTAGGGTCTTAAAACCACTTTAATGGCCAAGTGATTTCTATGTAGAGTTATTATTGGGTTTCAGAGTGATTAATTAACAACTCTGAAGCTATATTTTGTCCCAATAAGTTGCTTATGAAGCATGGATATGTGATATTGTTCATGTTTTCTTCATAGGGTTATGCCCTAAATGAATTAACTACATGTAAACCTATGGTATGCTTTATGCCCCCAGGGTAGTGTTTGGGAGCTTGAAACTTGTGGTCTGGAATTGGAGTTCAAATTCATCTACTTTAAATATTGAATTGATTTCCCATTTTCTGAAACATAACATAGAACTTTGTTCAATCACAAACTAGAGTGTGTTCACTAAATGTTTGTGAAGAATTTGTGTGAATTCTTATTGAATGTTGCAAGTTAGTTGAACTATAACCAAATCATTCATGATTAAATTGATGGTTTTTGGTCATTACACAAGTTCCTTTATGTTGATTGTATTTTACGCAACATGATTCGGTTAATCAGTTTAATTTGCCTCTTTTGTACTGAGTTTATGCTTACTTCCCTTTATACATATGAAAGAATAGATAACTTGATTCTAATCTTCTCATGCTAACTGAGTTTGATTAATGATATGGATTTTGGTCAGAGTATTTGTGATAACATCTTGGTTTAGAACTTGGTTCTTTGGGATTACCAGAATGGAACATAAATTGGAACCGTTAAAGAACCTCTTTACTTTTAACCAGTTTCCAGAGTTTCAAACTTGGTGCATAATAGATATCACAGTAGTACACTCAATGGTATGAGGATTCTCAACTTGCATTATGATTTTAGATCCCTCATAATGTCCACTATATGCATGGTATGGAGTCATAGAGTTCCATAAATCAAGGGTTCCACAACTTTCAGTACCCAGAAAGACAACAGGCATGACAAACTGAATCCCTAACTAGATGCCGTAAAAATACACCATCAATGGTACTGTTGAATCTTTTTTAAGTTCTTGTGAGCTGGTTGGAATGTGTTCTACCTGGAATCTAAATTAGAACACTGTCTAGAAGACAATTCATACTGCTATTGGGACTTGGGAGAAATGACTAATAGATTGATGATTACCATCTTTCATCCCACACGACCATGATTCAGTACACACTGATGAAGTTAAATTACCCCAACTGTGACACTTTTCACTGAAGTGGGATAAACGTATAGATGCTTTATGTACTGGTCAGAATTTAATTGTTGTTGGGTTTGTTCTTTCCTTTTCTTTTTGGTTGTTCTTGAGGGGGGGGGGGGGGGGGGGAAGAAGGGGGGTTGAAGCCCTCTTGAGTAGAGGGGCAAGAAATGACTAATAGATTGTCTGGCCGGAGCTTGTAGTTTATGCCCCTACCCAATTCAAATCGAATCAAAACTAACTCAGGAGAGACACTAATGTACTGGTAGGGTAGAGATGATATGTTTAAAAGCACAATAAATGAAAAACCACATATAAGAATTTTCACTTGAGGAATACATAGTATACTATTAAACTTCATCTTCCAACCTATTACATGACTTGTATTTTGGGTGATTGACATTTTTTAGCCGTTGTAATTGTCTTTTGATAGCAACTTGCCTATTGTTCTTGTGAAAATGTTAAAAGATTACTATTGTTTGCAAGAATGAGCGGTCTTGGACAAATTATAGAAATGTAAATAAAATAAGCCATCTTAGTTTGTGTTTTTTTCCATTCTTGCAAATTGTAGTATTTCTACTTTTATAATAAGAAGAACGGTTTGTTTGAGAAGAAAAGTCGAGTATGATTCAAAAAGTCTGCAACTCCTTATGTTTTTTTGTGAAGTTCTACATTAACCTTCAGAGAATTACATGAAAACATAAGATGAAGTATCATCAACTTTAGCTTATATTTACATGATCTTTAGTTATGGAGAGGGTTCGGTCCACCAGGAACTAGTTTCTTCTCTGCTGCGAATCGTGTACCAATTTCTTCAGGTATGAGAGGTGGAGGCAGTGTTGGTAGTGGTAGACTCTTGTACAGTAGTCGACATCGTAGGCACAAGCAAGAGATGGAAATCATTGACGGTTGCCGCCCATGGTAGATGTGGTTGCCTTCAGGATGGTTCATGGGAGATGTTCCTTCTACTCTCAACGCTGCAATGAGGCAGCAGAGGAAGGCGGCAGCCAGAACCCAATTGCCAGAAAATGAGCTCTTCATGGTGGTTGCAGCAAGTGGTGGTGGTGGTGATGATGGTGTCTGGGACTAATTTGTATGAGTAAGATAGCCATAAATAGCTTATTGGGTTGTTAGTTGCATAAATTCCTTTTAATGAATTTATGGTTTCTGCAATTTCTTATGGTTTGGTAGGAAAATATGGTTCTTTTCTCAAGGTTTTTTGTACTTTTAACATTTTGGGATCCATGGAATTTTTATAAATTCCAAAGAGGTTATGGTCCAAAGCTTCATATCTTATGTTTGGTTTAAAATGGTATTTCTTCAGGTTATTCAATGTCTGTACAGAAGTCTTTATACTGTAATCTTTTTCTGGGTTGCTGAAACTAGTAAGCTATACATGATGTAACATGGCAGATGCAATGTACAACTCTTTATGCAGAGTGTACAACTAGTAAAGCATGATAACTGAATATGAAAATCTAGTCCTTTGCTATGCTGCAGGTGTACCTAAGTGCAGGTTTGATGACAGACAATTCATAGTGTCAAGTGAAGCATTTATGGGTGATGTAATGCCAGCCAGACTATGTCGTGTCTTCTGGCCTTCTAAAGATGGAAATAAGCCCACAACTGTATGAAATCTTCGGTAAATCTTACCGGTTTCGTCACATCGAGGGCTCTTCCGACAGGTTCGTTTTGCTTGTGAGTTGCGGTTTTTGCTACAACAATGTTGTCGATAATCATCGATTGTCAAACAACTATTGCCTAGATGAATGGTTGAAATTTTAAGAGGTTTTTTGAACATATTGCTTGGCTCGAAAAACTTAATCAAACTAATGAATGAGCCAAGTCAAACATCTACGTTATGGAACTCGACTCGTCGAGTAAATTGAGTTTTATTTTGTGTTTAAGATCAACTTGATGGGTTGAGCCGACCTAAACTTGAGCTCGACTCAGATAAGTCGTTAAATGCTCGAATCATTTTCACCCCTTATTTTATCGACCTAATAACAAACCAGCACAAACCAAGCCAAAAATAAAATAGAAGTTAAGAACACATTTTTGTTAGTGACGATGTTTCTGTTCGATTAACGAGTCAAATGTAGAGAAACAACAAATGCAATAGTACAGGCCGATAAGAAAATTCCGGTGGCAAAATAACCTTCTGCATACAAGCGTTTATCCGTCATGACTTATCAACATCATACAGACACGGGTAAGAAAACGATCATCGAGTGAAACTCGAGTCATTCGATTTATTTTCCAAGCAAACGTCGAGTACGTTGATTAGCACCTCTAACTCGGAAATTGAGCTCATCAACATCATCTTGAAGAGGATCAAGAGCTTTGTTTTGCCTGCAGAATTTCAAATTTGTCATTAGGAAACCAAGTAAAACGAATGCAAATCGACAGTGATAGACCCTGAAAATACCAACCTTTCGATCTCAGAACCCATGTCAACGGCCATTTCTTTAAGTTCCCCAAGTATGTTACTCAAATCCGAGAGGGCATCGTCTTGCTGGCTTTTCTCGTACTGTTATCGTCACAAATGAATATCAGAACTTGATAACCATATGTGGACTCGCCAACTTCACAAGCTTAAATCGAAGCAAGAAATTAAACCTTTGCATACCTCAACTTTCTGCATTGCGTTCGTCGGTTCAGAGGGCGGTGTTTTTGAATGCCGCTGTCCCTTAGTCGGGGTTGTTGTAAGTCCCAGTTTTTCTCTTTGTTCCAAATGGGCACCCTTTCGTAGCGCAGGATCATCTGAAAAATCATCAAAACTCAATCGGACGGCCCAAATTGCATAACTTACAAAACGATCATGAAACAATGTCTAAGATTACAGGAAAAAGATATCAATCGTCAAGTGTTCTATCTGAAAAATCATCGAACCTCTTGTGATCATTGGTCCTGTTATAGCGTGACCCTTCTTAGGCTTCCAAGTCCTCGAGAAAATACCCCCAAGACTTCCCAAAAGCTTCTCGCCCTGCATCACCAAATCGTAACATCAGATTTAGCTACAAAATATGGGCAATTTGATCGACTAAACACACCAAAAAAATGCACTCGCACCACCTAGCCTTTGGCATAAATTTCCACAAAAGAGAGACTTTACCATGACCCAAACCTGTTAAGAGTCTCACATCGACTAGACTTGGCCTTTCTACTTTAATATATGTTTAAACCCCTCTTCTCTTCTCAATAACTCTTTTGAAGAGTGATACGACATGGTTTCACATATTATCACATGGTATCAGCGCCAACGTCCATTTATGGACATTTGGCCGTCTAGTGTCTGCTTAAGGGGGCATGTTAAGAGTCTCACATCGGCTAGATTTGGACATTTCTACTTTAATAAATGTTGGACCCCCCCCCCCCCCTTCTCTCTCCTCAATAGCTCTTTTGGAGGGTAATAATATGACGGGGCTCCACATATTGTCACATGATATCAAAGCAAGGTCTACCTCTGGAACACATATGTGCCAAGGACTCGAGATTCTATGACATCTGGTGCCCGTATATCCTTCATTGGATGGGGCTTGTTAGAGTCCAACATTGGCTAGACTTGTACCTTTCTACTTCAATATTTGTTGTAACCCCCCTTCTCTCCTCAACGGGCTTTTTTGGAGAGCAATATGAAAGGGTTCCACATATTCTCACATGATATCAGAGCCATGGTTTACCTTTAGGTCATTTGTCCCTAGCTAGTCTCCATTGGAGGGGGTGTGCGTTAAAGAGTCCAAAATTGGCTAAACTTGGACCTTTTTACTTCAATATTTGTTGGAACTCCCCTTGAGGGCTTTTTAGGAGAGTAAGATGATGGGTTCCACATATTCTTATAAGCAATGACATTCAATAAGAAAAGATCAATACCCTGCTAAGATCCTGCTCGATATCAGCTGCAGTCATGTGAGTCCTAGTGATCTGCTCACCCTGTTGATGCAGCGTGATCATGGTCTTGGTGGCATCTTCTCTTATGTTTTCTGCAATCTTTAAGGCACTGTTAACGGTTTTTGTAGTCTCTTCAGCCTTATACGCAGCATACTCCTCCAATTCTTGCACATCTTGATTCTCTATTCCACCAGAATCAACAAAATCGTTCTTGTATTTGTTTCTTGATGCGTAACTAAGTTTGTACCCAGATGAACCTGAGGTCCCCTTAACCTCATCATCATCAAAAAGACTAGCTCTTGAATCTGGGACCAATAATGCAGGTTCAGATGAGGTTCTTCTAGTCTGGTTTAGGGTTGACTTTTTGTCAAACTCGTCATCAGAATCGAATGGATTCGGTGCATGATGGCTGGGGTCAACTGAATTGTTTTTGCCAGTTCTATGAAGATGGAAATGAGGTTTCTTGATCCCAAACATGTTGAATCTCAATAGATTTTGCCGGGTTTGATTAGGAACGAATCAAAGAATCACAAATTTTGAGCTAATCCGCAGCAAGTTAACAAGGCTCCTATAAAACAAGAATCTGATTGCAAATTAGATGGTGGTTTTGAAATCATCATATTCATCGCATTGCAGTCCTCATTTTTGTTCAACTCGCTCGTTTCCATAAAGATCATGATTTTCTTTTCGATTTTTGCATAAACGATGGTTCGTTTGCAATGAAAATTACATTCTAAAACTAAGAAGATGGTGAATTTTGACTTCTTTTTCTTATTGATGATAACTTGTTGCCCCTAAATTCCAAACACTTGCTCTACTTAATCAAATATTAGTTAACCAAACAAATCAAACATCAAGAACAACAAATCTTTAGGGGTAAACAGGACAAAATCAAAATTTCCCAAATTCATTTTAGGTCATTCTCATCAACCAAGCACTTGCAAGTAAATCAAAAGCAAAACCCACATGAATTCAAGACAAATATAGCAAGACAACTTTCCAGAAAACTGATTATATGCATTAGATAACATAATACAGGTATGTTCCAGAAGTTGAACTTTAAACCTAAACCACAAGAAACCCCCAAATCATGGGGGGATAGATAAACCCTGAGATAACTCGACGAACGAGACAAAACCCATATAAATTAAGAACATAAACAGCAAATTAACGCTTCCCAGAAACTAATTATATGGTTACGAGATGGGTATGTTCTAAAACTTGAGATATAAACTAAAAAACACAAGAAAATGGGTGGATTTGAAGAGGGGAAGTTGAAGTAGTACCTGAGAAACTTGAAGAACTGGAGAAACTGTTGGATTTGGCAGATGTTTAAGAGAAGAAACGATGGCGGCCAAAGAAATGATATATAGATTCAATGCGATTGCAAAGGGAATATAAAGCAATTCAGCAAACGGGGGAAAATTGTTTGAAGAAAAAGTCTATGATGGGTGCCGTTGAATAATGGATGGGAGTAAGATCGTGATTGATGTCTGGAAGAATTGAACAGATCAAAGAGGAGATACCATGGAAGAGAGGAGAAGCGCGTAAGATAATGGACTTCGGCCCTCACTTGGTTTTGAATTCAAATACAAATCTTTGATTTAGACAGCAAGAACGCAAATTAAACGAAACTTCCCACGTTGTAATTCTTTTTTAACACGAACGAGTTTTAAATTGGATCATGGTGTTTATACAATTAACAGCAGAATTTTTTCGATTATTCATTGGGATTGATGAAATTGGATGATTGTTTACACATTTGTCTCCATTTTTCAATTTCTCATAAAAGAATGAATTGCCTTCTTGGTCCTTGTGGTTTGTTTAAAATAGGGATATACCTTTAAGGGTGTGTTTGGTATGAGGACAAGACATGACAGGACAAAATAAGACAATTGTTTAACTTTTGGTAAGATAAACTGGACAGAACAGAACAAGTAAAATGATCAATTTACTCCTGACAAGTTGTTTATTTTAATTAATTTATGTAATTTATAAAATTATAATAGAATAATTATTTTTTTATAACAAAATATATCATTTGAAGTTTTTGTCAAAACAATTAAAATGACACCAAACAAAAAGTTTATGTAGTTTTTTATTTTTATCTCTTTTCTACATTATTTTTATTACTAATATATAATAAATTATATAAATTAATAAAAATATAGAAACCGTATAAAAATAATATTTTGAGGACAGTAAAAGTAAAATGAAAGTTTTAAAAACATAAAATACAATAAATAAAATTAAAGAATGAATAAAATGTAAAAAAAGAAGACCTATTTGATATTTTATAAGATAATTAAGTTTTATTTTGAGGTTATATTGGTAAAATATCTGTCTGTTCCACCTTGTTTCACCCTGTTCCATGGGGTAGGGGTGGAACAGACCTGCTCCACCTTGTTCCCGCCTGTTCCACTTTGTTCCACTCTGTTCCCGTCTGTTTCACATAAAATCCATGCCAAACATAGGACATAGATTCCTGTCATGTCCCTGTCCCGTGTACCAAACGCATCCTAAATGTATTATGTCTATCTTTTCATTTTAATAATACTAGTTGTGTACTCGAGCAATGCGAGCGAGAGCCGTGAAATATAACAATTTTGAAGTTTCACTAGTTTTATTAGAGAAGATTTAACGATGATATAAGTTACACGTGGTCTTTACATATTAATACAATTTGAATAAATTATAGTTATGGTTTCAATTACAGTCTATCGATGAAAAAATTGTATGATAGTTTAAAATCCAATATATTTAAACGACTCCACAAATGTCTTCGATTTACATTAAGAGCAAAAAATCAAGAGATCGAGAGCGAGACCGAGAGTTCTAGAGTAATTGAAGGAGAGATGAATCCGATAACTTTTAATAACTCATGGTGAATATCAATTTGAATCTCACCTTGGAAGATGAGAGAAGACATAGAGGTATGAGATGGTGAAAACATGATTGAAATGTGTCAAAATTATCTTGGAAACATGAAAAGAAAAAGTAATAATGTGCATTGGTAACTTGCACTATATATTATTTTAATTGTAGATTAAGAGATTTTTAAAACTAAATGCATAAAATAGTAGTACTTAAYGTATTATKAGTTGTTTTTAAGACTTTTAAGACTTTGTGCATAAATGTATAGTACTTTGTGCATTAAAAATTGTTTTTAAGACTTTTAAGACTTTGTGCATAAATGTATAATAATTTGTGCATTAAAAATTGTTTTTAAGACTTTTGATAAATCTGATTTATAAGGTAATATAGACTAATGGTTCTTTAACATGTCGTTCTTGCATCTAGAGGGGAGTACATTTGATGTAATAATTTCTTAAATGTATTACCACATTTCCAAGGGTTACCACTTTTTACAGGTCAATAGAATATTTATGCTCAAAATCCCGATTGATTTAACATTGTTAACAATTTTAGCCCTCCTATGTGGCTTTCACGTGAGGGACAATTTCATTAATTTATTTTGATAAATGTTCATTTTCTTTATTTTAGAAAGTGTTTGGGATTGATTATTTGAAACAACTTATGTTTTTTTAGAAAAGTTCTTGTCAACTTATTATAAGTTAGAATGATTTAACTTATTCAAAAACTTCTTATTATCGGTTTGACACCAGTATAAGTTGTTTACCCAAACACTTAAAAATGCTTATTACATGTGTCAAACCGGAATAAATCAATAAGTTGTTTTTATAAGCAATCACAAATACCCTTAATCTTTTTCATCTGTCTTATGTTTATCAAAATAATTTATTATGAATCCTTATCTTTTTCATCAATAAAATCAAGAACAAACCTTGAATCAAAATCCCTAAATTAATTAAATGAACTTCTAAACCCAAAACAAATCAATGACAATATTAAATTATTTTTTTAAAAGAAAAAGAGCTAAAAGACTAAGGAGCCGTTTACCAAACGATTATCTGGTAAATACATATCAAGTCACGTTACCTCACTGGATGAATATGGTAAGGACAAAAAATCTTACCCCGTAAGTGAGGGCGACGACTCTTACCACAGTAAACACTTATCATGTTAGTAAATAATAGTGTTAAATTTTACCGGTAAGTACTTACCGGGTAAGTGTTTGGTAAACGGCCCCTAAGTGCTCTCATGTAAAAGGCACATGCTTTAATTTAACGCACCTTATTTAACGGTGTTAATTTGAGGGACCATGGATGTTATGAAAATAAAAAGTTAAGGACCATAAATACAGATGGTCCATTTAAAGGACTATGAGTGTTATGAAAATAAAAGGACAGAGACCACCAATATAGATAATGCATTTAAGAGACTATATTCAAGTTTTGAGCAAATTGGTGTAATTCACTCTGTATAAAATAACTGATGTCCCCTTAAATTTAAAGTAATGGGTCGTTTACCAAATACTTATCGGATAAGTATTTACTGACAAGAATTATCACCTTTTCTTACCTTATCGGGTAATATTTTCGACCATCAAATTAAAAGTTAATCTTTCTGGAAAAAGAACAAATTATAAAATTTAATATAAAAATCATTATTAATTATAAATAATACATCATAAAAAAAGGATCTTTATTATTATGAGACCTTACTCCATTGCCTCAATGACCTAATTTGAAAGAATCCGAAGGTCCGGACATGCACATAAGTCATAAAAGGTTACAGTAAATTACATTTTTGGTCCATGTGTTTTGTCAAAAGTAACACTTTTTGTCTCTATAGTTTTGAAATTACAGTTTAGTCATTGTGATTTGCAAAAATGATCGAATTTGGTCCCTATCTCTAACGGCCAATAATAGAGTCTGTTAAGTCAGAGTATTTTAGTCTTTTTCTACTTTTATCTCATTTTTATTAAATATATAAATTACAAGGACCAAAAACGTAACTTACTCTAATATGTATACAAAAGAGGTAACTTTTTGATATACAAATGAAATTACATACACATATACATATACACATACAACATATACATATACAATCAAACCCAAATCAAAATGAAAATGAAAACCAAAATAAAAATTCAAATTCAGAGTTTATTCACACCCAAAAATTGATACAATCTTTAGAATCAAAACAATAAAACCTTAACCCTAAATAAAACCAAGGGCTTAGCTCAAACAAAACCATAAATGCTGATCTTCGTGTTCAAAAACCAAAATGGAAATCTTAATCTTCATCCTTACATCTTGATTTTCATTCAAAATCCAAATTATAAATCAAAACCTAATGATGGAGGTGTTGAAACCGGACCGGATGCAGGTTAGTTGAGAGTCAGAGAGAGGGTTGTGGTTGCCATTTGTTAAACCCAACTCTTATAAGGTGCACATCATGAAACATAGGTCTTCAGAGGTGCAAATTGGCCGGTCAGATCGTGAACCCAGGTCATCGACAACTGTTTGTGCTTCATTGATGAAGATCGACGGTGCTAGGGGAGATGTACGGCGTGGTGGAAGGGTGACATCCCATCATGCAAGGTTGATTAACACTGGTGTATTGGTTGGTTTCAGGGGTAGGTGCATTGAAAAGAGAGGTTGGCGAAGAAAGATATCGAAGAAGGCGCTTTGCAGGTGGTGGGTGTGTCGATGAAGAGAGACATCCGAGAAGAAGGCAGGTTGCAGAGTGTGTGTGCGTCGGAGAAGAGAGGCCGATGAAGAGAGGTGTCAGAGAAGAAGTCGAGTTGTAGGGGGTAGGTGCACCGGAGAAGAGAGGCCAACGAAGAAGAAGGCAAACACAATAATAGGAAGACATCGACAGGTTGGTCCTAAGATGTTTGATGCCCTATGCGAAAATAATAAAAAATGCCTCTAAACCTATTTTTTTTAAGCTAAGGAAACAACGAAACATGCGATTTTTAAAGGTTTAGAACTTATTCAAGCTAAGTGTCTCATCCCCATGCTGATTTTTATTAATTATAATTAAAAAAAATACGGGAGGGGGGGGACATAAAAACAATGACACCGAATACAAAATATATAATGATAAAAGAATAAATCTTGGATTAATTAGATCGTGCTTCCTTGTTTTCCATTTTTTCTTTTTCCAAATTGAAATTAGCAAAATAGAAATTTTATTTCAATATATGGGACTTAAAAGACAAGGAAAACTATTAGTTTTTAACTAAAATAGTAAACTACATCCAAATTCTGTCATATTAAGCAAAAAGTAAAATTTAAAAGTTACAAGTCTAGCGACTAAAGGCTAAGGCCTATCTGTTAGCAACTTAATAAGCTTAATGGAACTAACAGCTCATTCCCTTAACTATGCATGACCGTTTCGTAGTGGTTTAATGATATAAAAAGTGACTTATCCAGTAAGCTTATAGGGGGACCTTTATGTAGAAAGTCAAGTTTTTTTCCTTCCAAACATATCATTTCCAACTAAAAAAATGCTCCTTATATCTGCGGAAATCTCTCACAAACAAAAACTTTTCCAGTTTATACAAACAAATTAATTCATACAGACAACTTTATCCATATAGAACATAATAAAAAACCAATCAAACGACCCTAACTCTAATACGGTAATGCCAAACCTCAAAGTAAACAAAAGTCAAAAAAATAATCATAAATTGTAAAATTCATAATCTATATTACTGTGCATTGCAAAGAACAAGTGCCCAATAATTAAGACAATATCACAATATGTTGTTAAAGTTATGCAGTATACTCCAACTATATTGATACAGTGATGTACTCATGTGCATTAAAAATTTCAATTATCAGATAATTCAATATGCAAGAGAAAGACTCATTATCAAAATGACAAAAACCCCTTAGCCTTAGCCTAGTAGGTCAGTAACCCACACAACTACATTACCCAACTTTATAATAATCAGTTAGAAATTTAGATTTATTTTTTGCAAAAAGATTTAAAGATTCATAAATCATAATATGACTCACACAACAACTCGGTAAATTCAATCAACAGTAGAAATCAGTCATTCGAGATTTCCATATTTGATTTCTTGAATCTAACTCCATGCCTTGAAAATCGAAATAGTCGAACTTTGAAGAACAATAGAATTTGGATTAAGTTGTTGGAATGATGACGTTAACCGGTTCACAATGTGCATTCAGTATTCATTACTACTAAGCCTTGGGACTGTTTTTATAGTCAAAGCTCAGTTGTCTAATTCTCAAACTATTAAACCCAAAACTAGTAATAGATGACAACTTGATGCCTCTTTAGGCTTTGATGCCCTGTACGGCTGCACGGGCTGCACTTGGCCAGGGCGGCATTGGGGCCGTCGTATATGATGTATGTGTGTGTGTGAATATATATATATAGGGTTAGGTTCCGGTGAGAAAGAAAGTTATAATGAGAAACGTAAGAATAAATCTCCATCATTCGATCAATCCTAATTGAATGTCAACACTAATGAGGTGCACCAAGGTGCACTTGATCAATTTTCTTCTAATGCGTAATTCATAGGTGGACATTAGATTAAAAATGATCAAGAGTTTATATATCTTCTTATACTTCTCATTATAACTTCACTTCTCACACGATCCTTCACCTCCATATATGTGTGTGTATATATATATATATATATAGGGTTGGGTTCACGTGAAACCAACTTGTTTTCGTGAGACCACATTTTTACACTTGAAACTTCACAGCAAAAACACTGTGAAGGTTTAAAAAAATCAAACATTCACAGCAAAAACACTGTGAAGGTTACTTTCACAGCATTTTGCTGTGAAGTTTCAAGTGTAAAAAGGTGGTCTCACGGGTCTCACGAAAACAGGCTGGTTTCACGTGATCCCAAGTCTACATATATATACATACATACACATACACACACACACACACACATATATATATATATATATATATATATAGACTTGGGATTACGTGAAACCAGCCTGTTTTGCCTTCTGATTTTTTTTTTAATTTAAAGTGTAAAAAATGGTTTCACGGGTCTCAATGAAACAATCTAATCTCACGTAAATCCAACCCTATATATGTAATTATATTTGTATATTTAAAAGTTACCTCTTTTGTATATATATTATAGTAAGTTACGTATCTAAAAAAAATATTTATTAAAATTATTTTAAAATCATGTATTAAAGAATTTCTAAAAATATATGAATCATATTAATATCTTTGACTCTAGTAAATAAGATTTACTACTATATAGTAAAAGAGTTTTAGGTTGGAATCTTATATATAATATCACTTTTTAAGGACAAATGTTCATCAACAGGAAGACAACCATTACCACCACAACCAAATCTATTTTCATTTTTTTTATTAACCTGGATATCCAACCTGTTATACGAGCTGACTAATCTCAGGATGACCATCTGTTTTGCAGATCGTCCAGAGTCACCGTATTTGAACCTCCATGGTCACAAGAGAATTTTTATTCCTCCTTAGATTTAAATATAAACATCCTGATACTTTTGACCTTTAAAGCCAAACTCAAACCAATCAGCCACCACCCTTATGGTTATTTTCATCATCATAGTTGCCTTAAGAAGAATTGAACAAAAGTCAAAGTAGTAGACTTTTTGGGACCACTTGAACCATAATACATGGATCTTTCAAGCTTGTTTTCAGTAAACAAAGAAAAAGTCTGGGTTTTTTCATGCTTAAGCTGATCTACGCTTCGAGTATGAAAATGGTTTCAATCGGGCTTTTTAGGCGCTTGCTTTTTTTTGGGCTTTTGATAGAAAAACATGACCCTACCGAACTTTGAGGCCTGGTTTGGCTTGTGCTTCACGCTTGCTTCACCTAGAATTTTTTAGGCAGATATCTGACCTTATGCATCTCTAGTCCTAACACAGGATCTTATGTTTGAAATTAGCAAAAAAATAGCCTACTATTTTATCCTTCTAGTTTAGTGAGTTTATATATTCGGCTCGCGGGCACTATTTTGTATTCGAGCTTGAGTTCAAACCAACCGATCTCTTAACTCGAATAGCTCACAAAAATGCTTAAATCTTTATCACCAACCATTAGGCGTAGCATCCTTTTCTTACCAAAATATATATAAGATTCTAAAACGTCTGCAAAATATTCAATTTTGGTAGTATATTATAACTTTACTCAAATTTCATAAATAAATATTCGTCTTTGTTTTCTAGTTAATAATTTGAACAAAACTTTCGATGAAAAACCTAACGTATGAAATAATACACGTTAACTTTATAACAAACCTTTCGATGAAAAACCTAACGTATGAAATAATACACGTTAACATAGTAGTTTAGTAATGGGAAAATTGCACCAAAATGGAACCAACTTTCACCTGATTCTTATTTTGGGGAACCAACTTTTAAAATAGTCATTTTTGGGAAACAACTTGCACCTGATTCTTATTTTGGGGAACCAACTTGCAAAATAATTATAAAAAATAACTAAAATTCGTTTTTTTTTAAAAAAAATTAATGCAATAAAATATATTTTTCATTTCAAATCTTTTTTTTTTAATTCAAATATCAAATTGAAGAATTTTTAAAAAAAATCTAAATTACCACGATAAAAATTGTTTTTTTACTAATGTAATAAAAAATCAATTTAATAGAAAAAATTAATTGATGCAATAAAAAATAAATATTAAATTATCACATTCAAGATTTTTATATCTAACCAATCCGTATCAATATTAAAGTTTAAATCAAATTTGGCAAATCAAACCAAAAGTTTGATAAAGACCCTTAAATTACCTGTTACCTGTTCAACAGATTAACCAAACCTTTAAATAAAACAAAAGTTTGATAGAGACCCCTAAATGATGATTTTGAAAGTTGGTTCCCCGATATAAGAATCAGGTGAAAGTTGGTTTCATTTTGGTACAATTTTCCGTTTAGTAATTTACATATCTTGTACCACATTCTTGATTTTTGTTCCCCGAGTTTGACAGTACGAATAAATTGCATTTTTGTCTCGCTTAATCTTCTCTTAACCTGTCATGTACTCCTTACCAAACCCACTGAGACTCTAAAACCACCATTTAAAAAGCTTCATCCACAGGAGACAGACCATTGGCAGAGCAGAAGCAAATGTTCTAAGGACTCAAACATGTTGCAGGCACCATTTGTATCTAAAAATCTGTCCAAATGTTTAGTGGTTCATGAAACAATTGTAATTGAATGAAAAAAAAAGAGCAATCTATTTCACAAAAATGTAGAACTTTTTAACAAAGTGTGTTGGCTACTTAAACTGTTGGTCAAGCAGCAATTACATCAAATTTCTAAAGAATCAATGAAATCCGTATATCAGACAAGATCTGATGCATTAGTGCTGGTATGATTATTAGCTCGTCGACAGCAAACCAAGGAGTGTCGATTCGTGGTTGTAGCACCATGGATTGTACCCTGTGGTACTTGTGTTCATCATCATTGTTTCTTCCTGTTCTTGCTCTTCTTCTTCTACTGGCTCAGGAGGCATGTTTAGATCAAGAAAACCTCGGATTTCGTGAACTGGATCCTTGACCTTTTCAATCACTTTCAGGTTTTGTTGATTCAGTTTAGCTTCTGCAATCAAGTGTGATCTTTTATGACCCCCCAAAGCTTGTCCAGATGAGAAAATTCTTAAGCAAATTGAGCATTCATGTGCTCCTACCACCATTGTGTTCTTCAAAGAACCAACAAGATTGAAACTTGATGTTGATTGATGATGATCAGATGTTTTTTCAGAACACCCATTGATCATTTGATCATGATCTAAGATGGGTTCGCTTTCGATCTTGTTTTTATGGTCGTTTTTCGAATCAAAACATCCCTTTAACTTCTTGTGACTTGCTCTATGCCCACCAAGTGCTTGATAAGAGTGAAAACTCTTGTTGCAAGCAGTACAATCAAACTTTCTCTTGATTGAACCTTCAAATTTTGCGAAACCAAACTCGTTTTGATCATCGAATTCGTCTTGATTGATTATAGTTTTCTCCAAACTATAAGAACCCACCTCAGATCTTCCAAGAGAATCAACACCAACTTCAGTTTCTGCTAACTTCTTCATCTTACAACCATTTCCAGTTAGCTTCTTACTCTGAACTTTAGTCAACTTAACAAAACCAGTTGGGGATTTGCATTCAAATCCATCACCCCATTTTCCCACATCTCTTGAAAGCATCATCAAACACATAGCAACCTCTGCTTCTTGTTCTTGATCATTATCATAAACAACACTTGTTGAAGCATGGTTAGCATTCATGGAGACTGAAGATGAATCTGTAGTGGTGGTGGTAGTAGTAGTAACAGTAGGAGTTGTACCACAAGTAACTATGCACCCTTTTGTTGTTCCATTTCTTGATCTTGATTTCTTCATCCGACTGCTTTTCGCACTTGAATTCTCGTTATTGGATTGACTGATGGAAGAATCTTGATTCAAGATTGCAGTTTTGGTGTTTGAGACTTTGTCAGAATGGCATTTCATGTGTCCAAATAAGGCCTTCCAAGATTGAAAACCTTTCCCACATTCTTTACAAAGCTTATCAAGAACAACCAAAGAATTGTTCTCATTATGGGCTTCACTTGAAATTTTTGCTTTCAGAGTTCTTTTGGGATCTTTTCTCAGTTCATAACCCAAATCATTCGAATTCGAAGAGACATTTGTGACTGATGTGTTGTTATCAATCAAGTTTTCACCATTGTTGTTGAGAGATGAGAGCTTCATCTTGTGATGATGATCAGTGGAATTGATCACGTGAGACCTCATGTGACCTCCCAGGGATCTACCACACGGGAAGCTCTTGTTGCAGAGCTTACACATGTGTTTCATCAGTTCTTGATCACTTTGTTCAACCGAATTCGACATTTTCAACAGAGAAAAGGTCAAAATTCAGATCAGATTGAAAGCTAAAGTGATCCAAAAAAGAGGATTTAAGAATGAACTTGTCAAAGGAACAGAGGATTCAAGCATGAAAAGTGAGAATTAAGAACACCCAGATCAAGAAACAAGATCAAAGTAGGTTTCCACTCTTCTTGCAGATTGAAACGACCCATGAAGAAGAACCCATCTCAGATTCCATCTAGCTTTTCAGTAAGAACAACCCTCCAAAGTTGAAAACTGAGAATTCCGAAACACCCAGATCAAGAAAGACGATCAAAAACTCAAATCTTTAGTGGGTATCCACTCCTCCTGAAGATTCAAACGAACAACGAAGAACCCATCTCAGATTGCATTCGTTCTTCAGCAAGAAACAGGACTCGAAAAATTTACAACTACGAATTGAGAAACTCCAAGATCAAGAAACACGACTAGAAGCTACAATCTTTCCAGAATGAAATGAAAAACGATAAAAACACCCATCTCAGATTGCATTTTGTTCTTCAGCAACAGCAAGAACAAGATCCAATCTTGTTAAATGAGAACACAAGAACTGAATTAAGTTACACTCAAGTAGCAGTCAAGATTTGAAGCAAAAAAGATTGAAATTCTGGAAAGAGATGATTGGTCGGTTACCTTTCTTGCTAATGATGGCGATGAACAAAGCACACCCTTTCTCTTTCTCTCTCTCTCCCTGAAATTTTGCCAGTTTCTCTCTCTAGAAATATGTATGCACAGAGACAGAAGAGAGAGAGAGAGAGAGAGAGATAGATAGATGAACAGACTATATTTGGAGGAAGAAGGAGAAATCCATGCATGGAAATAAGGATAAAAAGAGGCAAAAACAACGTGTACTCACCCAAGTATCCTACGCCAACACCCATCCAACGGTTCATATTGCCCCACATTGACCATCCATCATGATTGTTGCCCTCAAATTCCTAATTTTGCCATGATCTCTGTAATTATCTACCCACAGAAACATAAACAAAGTTGTGGGTCTCATACACCTCAAACTTTCCTTCAATGCAATTACCAAATACTGCCAATAAAGGCATGCCAAGTGTCACACCTACTCCTAAAGTATTTGAGCTCAGTTGCACAGGGGCAATTTCGTCATTTTGGTAAGTTGGAGAATGAGAAATGGACCCACAGAGCTTACAAGAAGTTTGTGAAGTAAAGAATCTACAAGCCTGCATATGGAAGCTAAAAGCTTTTCTTTTTGTGCTATGCAAGCATACCAGTAGGGGTAGTGTGGCTAGTGGCATTTTGGTCATTTCACATCAATCACACTCCAACTCCAACATAGCTCTAACCGAAAGCCTTAATGTCTTGTTATGGCTAATCACTATCTTAAGCATTAATTGTATCGTTTAAGCCGGCATCTTAGCACAATGTTTAGCTGTAGCATAAGTGATTACAAGAAAAACAACTAACTTTTATTTTATTCGTTTTTAGCCCCTGATTTTTAAATTACTTTTGCATACAAGTCCAATTCATGACATGTGCATCCACATTATGTGATATTTATTAGATAATTGCATTACTTTTTCCCTAATAATTCTAAGAAATCAAGTTTTTCTATAGAGACGACGGTTGTCTGGATCAGTTTCTACGTACCTCGACTAAAACCATAAGGCTCAAAGTTGTCAGGCGCAAAAGTCTTTAATACGCTTAGAGGACTCGAACTCGTGACCACTGAGAAATAAACTCAAGACCTTATCAATTGAGCTACCACTGGGGTTTTAAAAGAAAGATCAGAAGTTAAGAGTTGTCTCTGTAGAATTTCTTTTTTTATAAAAGATAAACCCTGTAATTTTTCGAAATTGAAATTGTACGGTCTTAATTACACAGTGCAGAGGTTGTTTTTGCTTTGTCGATGACCCCTGAAGTTGTTAAAGGGTTAGTTTGGCACTACCCCCTTATTTGTTAAGAATAACCAATTTTATAAGATCAAATGGTACTTAAAAATCTGATCAATAATTAATTTTGCATTATGTGTTCACTTAATCGAACAGTAAAAGATCAATCAAACCCAGTACACCATACGACTCTAACAAGCTTATAACATCCATCTCAACCCTTAGTTTTCGTTTTACGCTACCATGATTATGGTCGTTTCTTTTTTGGTGTCAGTATTTGTTAAATTCAAGAAAATATAAAAACCTGTATTACATAAAGTACAATTCTTTATAGCAGTATTGTCAATCTTGGATGCCTAATGGTAAGCACAAACATACACACATGGTGTGGCATTAATTAAGCTAAAGAAGCTTCACTTATGAGACAAGAGAGAGTAGGCAACTCACTAAAAGTGATGATCAAGTTGACAACCAATTTCTAACCCTTCAAGGGATTTTTTGGTCACTCCTTCCTTGTCTTCTATTCAATGCCATTTTCTATACATTTTTAGGCCAAAAGATAAGATGCCTTACTTTGACCTTTATGTTATTTGTGGTTCTTGTTAACTCCTAACCGGATCAAAAATACTGTTTATGTTATATCTGTACTGATATGGATGTATTCATTTTGTTTGGATCTGGGTTTGGATCCAATCTGGATTTTGTACTGGTTTACAGATTGTTTAATTAATATCAATGATAAAAACATATTTTTTTTACACAAATCAAAACCCGTTTTCATTTGGTCTGACATGAAGGTGGGACCCATTTTTGACACAGAAGATGGGTCTCATCTTTATTAAGGCCTTATTTATCCCACTAAGTGAAAGTAAAGACGGAGGTGGTGAGTTTTTAAGTGCATGAAGGAGACTCATAACAGTTTGAAGTGTGCTTCATTGCCCCAAAAGCACTCTTGTTGTATAAAGCAAAGCATGTGAATGCTTAATTGGTCATCAACATTAATTGATGATTAATTAATTCTTAATCCTAAAGAAGTTATTATTAGGTTATGACCACATCAAGCTTTAATAATACAACTAAATTTATCTTGTAAAACCTCTGATCCCAAAAGTCGAAATCAATAAATCCATAACAACATACATAAAAATCGCGTTATTATAACAATGTCCTAAAACTGCCGTTTTAAAAAAGAGATTGATCAGTTAGATGACTTGCAGTTTCGTTACCCTTACAGATCTATCATCACCACAAGTGTACCATAAGATGTTGTGTAACCATTCAAGCAGAACTCAAATGGACAAAAAAACCCAGTACATTCAATAACATGGTTTAACAGAGCCATCAAATACGGTACAAATTACAAATATACCCTTTTGCTCGTTACAAGATTTGATTTTTTAAAGAAGACTCGATTATCGTAACAATTTATTTTTTTTATAAACACATTTATGAAACAAATGTAGATCCACAAGGCTCTCTTGTATGTAAACCAATCATAAAGTGCATGTGTTCCTTTACAAGTGTGATAATGGTGTCATGTGTTTGATAAACAAGTTTTTCTCACCAGCAATGCTTAGAAAATACTCTTTAACAAAAAGAGTCAATGAAACACTAAAGCAAGAAACCCTATAAAGAGTTGGAGGGTGGGACCCACTTTGTTGGACGAGCAGACGTTAAAACTACTTATTTACAATGAAAGACTTACGTCTATCCTTATAAATACATAATAAGTTTTTTTTTTCTTTTTTACCGTATTAGACATCGTATCATAAAAATGCATATAACCTCTAGATTTCGCTACACTGTCTCGTGTTTCAACCGTCTTTTGAGCTTATTTGGCCGTGTCATCAGATCAACAAATAATATTTTTAACTGTTTGACCCCTTTAAGTAATGTATTATTAGCATTAATTATCAAAAGAAATGTCATTGTTCTTGGATTCAACATCAGTTTGAAAGGTTAACCTATTCTGGTATTCTGAACCAGACACTTTTGACTTTTGGATTTGAACATGAGACCTCCAGACACTTTTGACTTTTGGAGTCCAAGCTCAAACCAATGAGATATCATTCTTGTTATAATATCATTTAGAAACTAACTTTGCAAGTGTAATATATAAACCAAACAAGTATCTTTTTAGGAGGAAAGAAGTACGTATGAAACCTGTTTTTAAGTTGATATTAATTTATTTATTTAAATTGAATATTTAATTAAATGTATAAAAGATGGCATTAGAAAAGATGATGAAAGCAAATGGGATTTGAGGGTGAAAAGGGGTGATGAAGATGATCTCCTCTTCACCCACCATTACAAGTCCTTTGTATATATTATTGTTTTGGTGGTGCAGTTTGAGCTTATTTAGCTTACCAAACACCCTACTTGCTCACCATTATCTATTCCCATCCCCATGTGGGAGGAGCAACACTTCAATGTGGATTTCAGAATTATATATATATATATATATATATATATATATGGAGGTTATTTTACAACCTTTTACATTCGTACACCCAATACAACCACCATCTCATACCTTCAATTTTTAATGTATGGTCAAGATGCATTGGATGACAGAATTGTAATAAAAGGGAAAACTATATGCATGCGCTTGATAGATTGAGGGTAACCAAGGGTAAGATTGGAATTGGAAAACTTAATCTATTATAGGAAGGGATTCTATGAAATCATGAATGCGATAATCACTCTGCTGTAGAAGACAAATAGCGATATTCATTGAAAATAGTTTCATCAGCACACTTTATAAGCTTTGACATACGGACAACACGCTAGATGAACTTAGTTTCATGTATCTATCATAACCTTTAAAATAAGGTTATGAAACTGATGAAAATGGTTTCATCGGTACACTGACAACAATTCTGCTCAACTATGTTTTTATGAACTTAGTTTTATGTATCCATGACACCTTTAACATAAGATTATGAAACTGATGAAAAAATGGTTTCATCAGTACACTGATAACAATTCTGCTGAACTATGTTTTTATGAACTTAGTTTCATGTATTCATCTCACCTTTAAAAGCACGTTATGATTCTGATGAAGATGGTTTCATCTGTACACTGACAACAAATATATTATGATGAAGATGGTTTCATCAGTACACTGACAGCATCGATTTCATTAAATATATCCTTGACGAATGTTTCATTGAAGGATATCGAATTCATAAGAGTATGTGAAGTTGAACCCATTATGCCAAAGCTTCATCGAATTCATCCAGGTTATTATTATTTTTCTATAGAAATCTTAATGTTTCCATATCAGTTTCAAATATACATAGTAATTAGAAGGTTACAACCATAAATAGGATTATTATTATTTTTAATTAAAAATAATAATAAATATGTAAAATTATCAAAGGACAACATTAACCTTTTCATTAAAAAAATAATTAAAAAAAGTTATTCATTGATTGGTTGAAAAAAAGGTTGCAAGGATTGTACAAATACACAAGGTTGTAAAAAAAATATACCCTATATATATATATATATATATAGGTTGGTTATTATACAACCCTTGACATTTGTGCAACCAATACAACTCAATCTCAACTTTCATTTGATTAATATGTGATTTTATATATATATAAGTTTTGATTGTTTCTTAATATAAAGTATTGATCATAATTAATGAACCATATTCATCTTCCATAAATATTCAACTCATAATAAATGAACTCTCATTATTTTCATAAATATCTCAATTTATTGGGTTGCATTGTTTGTACAAATGCGATGAGTTGTATTTGAAACAAACTTTCTCTCTCTCTCTCTCTGTGTATATATATATATATATATATATATAGATGAGCGTTCAAATAAAAACTTGACTCATTTGTATAAACCGTGTAAACCAATCTCATCTATTCATTTTCTTGATCAATGACTAAAATTAATTTACTTTATTTTAGGAAATTAAAAATTAAAAAATAATTAATATTTATTTTATTTCATCAATAAGGGTAGAATCGGTAAACAAAGGTAACACTTTTGTAACCCCTTGATTGCTTTTCCGATTCATTAACTAAAATTTAATTCATAGTATTTTTTATTCAAAGCAACCATATCAGCTAAATTATATTATTAATGAAATTGATTCACTTTGTGAAGTAATATACTATTTTAATGTTAACATTTTTTAAAATAATATCCATCAATAACTTATATCAAAATCAAAATACAACATATTCACTAATGTATAATGAATAATTTCATTAAAAATTAAAATAAATGATCATATTTCGTTTTTCTTAATTTCTTTGTAGTCGGATTCGTTACATTTTAGTTAATGAAAATTTTTCATTGTTTAATGCGCTTATTAAATTTTATGATTATGCAAGATCGAGTTTCATTATCCTCATTTGATATTGAAACTCATTCATTTTTTGCAATGATGAATTATGAACCCGTTTCATTCTAATTAACACGTTACATCCACTGAAC